ATACACACACATATGCACGTTATCACACATACACTAGAATGGAATATATAATATATATATATATATATATATATATATATATATATATATATATATATATAGGTAAGATGAGATCTGCCAATCTACAGGTCATGAGCCATTTATGGAAGATAATTTATTAATTTTTGCTTCTTCGCTTAGTTTAAATTTAATGTAGATCATATTCGATTGGTTGATCTGAGTAACGCCCACAAACCTTATAAACCCCCTTTATTTTTTTTTCGTAAAAGAGGTTGTATTTTGCTTTTAAATCTAAATAAATCGTTCACTTTCAAGTAATTTACAATCGCCTGATGAGATGCATTTGATACGTATCGAAACACGACTGCAATTGTGTAGTGATTTTGAAATATTTTTAATTTATATATATATATATATATATATATATATATATATATGTGTGTGTGTGTGTGTGTGTGTGTGTGTGTGTGTGTGTGTATCTTAAGATAATACTTCCCTCAAAAAACAGTTCCTAAGGGACGAAACGCGACACACGAAAAAAATTTTTTCTACTTTGTCATACATTTTTCCTCCCACGCACAGAGACACACAGACACATTTATATATATATATATATATATATATATATATATATATATATATATATATATATATATATGGGCAGACGAATGCGTATATGCATGAAACAGACCGCTGGGTGTTGACTTACATGTGCACTTTTATGTATACATTCGGTTTATCTTAGATATTGAGCACTTTAACCCGTAAAAATAACATACCTTAAAACTCTCTCTCTCTCCATATATATATATATATATATATATATATATATATATATATATGTGTGTGTGTGTGTGTGTGTGTAAATATAGAATTAATATGGAAATTTTTAATCTCTTCTGACGAGAGTTTACACGCATATAGCTACGAAACTCCGATGTAAATATGAGTTAAGTGAAAAAAAAACTTTTCCATATTAATTCTGTTATGTTTCTATCCTTGTTTTCGATATTAAGCCCTCCACCATAAAGCCTGTTGGCCTCGAATGCCCCTTTACCTGCAATCCACTGAAAAAAATAGCAATTTAAGCTCCAAAAACAGTATTTCAAATTAACATTATATATATATATATATATATATATGAACCTAAAGAGCTAGGCAAACCTACCTAGGTTTCACTTACGCGGATCGTCAGGGTATAGCGGTCAAAGAGGAAACATTAGAACAGAATATAAATAGCATACAACATAAAAACCTGACCATGTCACAAAAAAAGTAGCAACAATGTGGGGGGGAATACATATTTATTAAATAACAAAAAAAATGACAGAGTAAAACCAAACCTATTCTAGTAACCATATATATATATATATATATATATATATATATATATATATATATTAATTCAATTAGAAAACAGACAACCTTAAGGGTCCATTGATTATATTTTTTCCCCGGGAAGGTGATTTTTTCGTTGGTCCTCAGATCACATTTCAAACATAAAGAATGGATTTAAATTTAGGTTTTATTTTTAAACACTTTTGAGTGGTAGATTTAAGTTGATGTAAGGTGATAGAGAGATGGGGATGGAGAGGAGGAAGACGACAGATATAGTCGAAATTAGAGAGGAAAGGGAGAGATAGGAATAATTTAAAAACTACTTTTATTAACATATCTTATTAAGAGTAAGGGAATGTGGGTAAGAACCAGATATTGACTTAATAAATCCATAATTTCATGGAGTTTTTGTTATCTCTAATGTCTTTTTTGAGTTGGGATTGCAACTGGTTGGTTTTCTTTTTAAAAAATATTTTTTAATTAAATTGATCAAGTCAAGCTGAAAAGGATCTAACAACTTTTTTTTGTTTTTTACTCAACGCCGAACGAGGTCAGGTTGTGACACATGTTCGGTTTAATGTGGGGAGCCCGAGCGCGTGGATCCCGGGGAAGGGACAAAAATTCCAAGAGCCCCCGCAACTGTCGGTTGCGCTGGTCTCGGTGCGTCCACCGATCCTTCTCTCTAGTGCAATGAGAAGGCGCGGCCTCGGGCAGCTCTTCCCCAGGGCCGGCACTTCTCAGTATGATTTTCCTCATTTGCAACTGTTTTCTTTGACGGAGTCGCCCTTCAGTGCACTCTGCCCAAGAGTAATTTACACACAAAAGGTTCTAACAACTTAATACTAGGTGGAGTTTTTTAGGATTTTAAGTTAAATGTTTCATTTTGGTTGTTTGGTTTGTTGTAAGGATTAAAGTGGAAGTAGAATTTCCATCTCATTCTTTTAATGATATATATATATATATATATATATATATATATATATAATTTTTATGAAACTGAAGAGCCAGTGCACCCTGTCGATCCGCGTAGGTAGGTTTGCCTGGCTCTTTAGGTTCATAGTTAGATTTGGTCTACTTAGTGTACTGAGCACTTTGCTTAGTTATTTTTACTTTACTCGTGTTGGAGGTTTTTTCTTTGAACTCTGAACTTGGATTCTGGAGGATTGTTTTCGTCTCAGTTACATGTTCTTAGTTCTTTCTTTTTTATCCCTTATTTTTCCTTGCGTATTGGTTTGTTCATTTACAAGCCAAAACACGTAAGATTTCTCCAGACGATTATAATTACTTTATATATATATATATATATATATATATATATATATATATATATATATATATATATATATGTGTGTGTGTGTGTGTGTGTGTATAATTATTTATTTAAACCGTTAACTCATGTCTATTGTTTAATAATTTTTTATTATTTAGAAACTTAATAATGTGTAGTTTTTCATGTAGGCATAAAGGGCATGGGCCATCCCAAGTTTTACAAGTTCTAGTTTTGTTTATAATTTTCCATTTTATTTTTGGTGTTTTATTCATTTCCTTCAAATACCAAAAATATTTAGATAGAGATGTCTGATTTCTTTTATTAATATTGTTGAAGGAGCACTTATGCTGCCTCCACCTGGTTTTAAATTCATTCTTCGTAGACCCAATGTATATCACATTAGTATTAGGACTCTCAATGGATGAGATAGTACATTGGTATACCAATAAGATTTTACGTGGCATTTATTTTCCAATGGGCAGTCTTCTGGGTTTCTACAATCACATATTTTTCACTGTTTTTGTCTAATATTTATATATATATATATATATATATATATATATATATATATATATATATATATATATATATTTGAATAAACAGGTTCGTTCATAAGAAGTAACGATTCTTTTTTTAGCAATTTTATACATTTATCAAGATTGAAAACTATTATTTTTTTTTATCCTTTTAGAGAAGGTTTATAGAAGGGGTCAGAATCAAATGAATCCCTAAAGTAAGGATTTATCCTTTGTTTTTATTTAAAATGTTAAATTTGAAAATGAGCTTACGTTATTGATAACCGCCTGCTATTACGAATTGGTGGAAAGGTCATCAGCAGGAGGACGTTTCAATGTCTCCAGCCTGTAACGAAGCTATCAGCTGAATTGTGATCTGAACTACTCAACGTATAATATTTCATCTAAGTGATTAATATTAGCTACTGAATTTATAGCTTTGTCAATGATAGCTATAATTTTGAGAAATTAATATTTGTTACGTGAAATAAATGATTTTTCTTAAAAAAAAACACATTTGCCTAATGATTTATCTATGTAGATATGAGTTTCACGAAGAAAAGTAGCCGAGGAGAAAATTAGAGAAGGAAATGAAGGAGGGAAGAAAAAGAAAAAGAATATGTAAAAATATAAGAAGAAATTAAAAAGAGGAAAGAAAGATGAAACTAGAAGAAAGAAAGTGTTTTAAAAAAATAAGGAGACAAAAAAAAGAGGGAATAAAAGAAGTTAAAGGTGAAGTAAAAGAAAAGAAAAAGTAGAAATGAAGAAGAAAAGGAAATAAAAAAAAGACTTAAGAAATACGAAATTATAGAAAAGAATTATTTGAAAAGAGAAAAGAATAAGTTAGAATTAAAAAGGCAAAACGAAAACAAAGATAATAATGAATAAAAAGCAGAAAATTATAACAACGGAGGGAAGGAAGGGTGGTGTAGATGAATAAAAAAAGTGAGTGGGAAAAAGTTCAAAAAATTGAGTGACTATGTTGAAGGAAGAAGAATCGCCAATAAAAAAAAAAAGACAAAATAAAAACTTTGCAGGAAAAATTTTGAAAATATTATAAAAGTAATTAAGAAGAAGACAAAGCAGAAGTCAGAGAATAATAATAATAATAATAATAATAATAATAATAATAATAATAATAGAAATCTCGATAATGTGGCATATGAGAACATCAACAATCCCTGTTGTAGTTGGAGCCCTAGGACTGGTTGGAAAAGATTGCAGTAGACTAATTGAAGGGATTCCTGGAAGTCCATGCCTCAAGGAGATACAAAAAATTGTTCTGATAAGTACAGCTCACACTTTACGAAGGACTTTATCTATGTAATTTTCTTTTTTTTTTGTCAGTGGAAAGTGTCATGATGCCATTTCTAACCTTAGGTCCCTACCCGGAAGGGACCCGGAAAGAAATCAAAAAAATAGAAATCAAATAAAAATAATAATAATAATAATAATAATAATAATAATCTTCAAAAAAACTATCAAAATAAAAGGACCTTGAAATCGAAATCTAAAAAAATGTGCACATGAGGACATTAACAATTTCAGTTGTAGTTGGAGCCCTCGGATTGATTTGAAAAGATTCCAATAGACTCATTGAAGGAATTCCTAATAGCCATTGCCTTAAAGAAATCCAAATAATTGTACTCACAAGTATAGCCCACACTTTACGAAAGTGCTTTATCTATGTAAAATATGTGCGATTTTTTTTCAAAACTGCTCAGTGGAAAATGTCATGATGTCATTTCTGACATTAGATCTCTGGTCGGGACCCGGAAAGAAATGAGTATAAACAAGAAACCAAAGGATATAATAATAATAATAATAATAATAATAATAATAATAATATTTTGTTGTTGTTGATTTGGTGGTGGTAGTGATGATGATGATGATGATGCTGATGATGATGATGATGATGATGATGATGATGATGATGATGATGATGATGATGATAAATTGAAGAATGAAGCACGAGTAAAAGTGAAAGAGAAGGTGAAACAATAAAGTGAAGGAAGGGGGTAGTAAGCAGAAGAAGTTATCAACAATAGGAAATGTTAACAAAGAAAGGAAAAAAAGGAAGAAAAGTCAGAGGGAAAAAGAAAAAGGTAAAAAAAAAAAGACAAGTGGAAGCCTAAACAGTAAAAGGAAGAAAAAAAAAAATAAAAAAGGAAAAGGAAAAAAAGAAAAGTAAAAGTAAAAAAGAAGCAAGTATCACAAGGAAGAAAAACAAGAAGAAATAAACGAAAAAAAAAGATAAAATTAGAATGTCAATCTGGCAAGGAAGACAAGAAGAAAAAAAGAAAGAAAGAGAAATGAAAAATAGGAAAGAAGAATGGAAGGAAGTTGAAAAGAAAAAAAAATAAGTGAATGAGAATAAGAAGAAAAGGAAAGTAAAACGAAAGACAAATAAATCGAAATAAAAAGAATAACAGAAAAACGAAGGAAAACAAGAAACACAAGAAGGAAAAGAATTAAATTAATAAAATTTAAGATTATTATCATCCTCCTCTTCCTCATCATCATCCGTCGTCGTCTCCTCCTCCTCCCTCTCTTCCTCCACTTCTTCTTCTTTTTCTTCTTCTTCTTCTTTTCGTCCCCGTAGAAGTTTTCTTTGACATCGCTGTCATCGTCTCCGTCTTCAATTTTCTTTTTCTTCTTCTTTTCGTCGTCGTCGTCGTCGTCATCGTAATCGGCATCGTCGTAATCTTGTTGTTGTTGCAGTTATTGTTGTTCTTCTCTTCTTCTACTTCTCGTCTTCTTCTTCTTCTTCTTCTTCTTCTTCTTCTTCTTCTCGTCGTCGTCTTCGTCTTCTCCATCACCTCCTGCTCTTCGTCGTCGTCATCGTCGCAGTCTTGTTGTTGTTGTTGCTCTTCTTCTTCTTCTTCTTCTTCTTCTTCTTCTTCTTCTTCTTCTTCTTCTTCTTCTTTTCGTCCCCGTAGAAGTTTTCTTTGACATCACTGTCATCGTCTGCGTCTTCTTCAATTTTCTTTTTCTTCTTCTTTTCGTCGTCGTCATCGTAATCGGCATCGTCGTAGTCTTGTTGTTGCAGTTATTGTTCTTCTCTTCCTCTACTTCTCGTCTTCTTCTTCTTCTTCTTCTTCTTCTTCTTCTTCTCGTCGTCGTCTTCGTCTTCTCCACCACTCCCTGCTCCTCGTCGTCGTCATCATCATCGTCATCGTCGCAGTCTTGTTGTTGTTGTTGTTGTTCTTCTTCTTCTTCTTCTTCTTCTTCTTCTTCTTCTTCTTCTTCTTCTTTTTCTCACATTAAATAACCCTAAAAGCAATTGCGTTCATTGCCATCATGTCTATTGCAAAAATAATTAGCACCCTCGCTGCATGTATTAATCATTGTTGCGTTCTTGAAAAAAAAATCTTTTCCCCCTATTCTGTCTTTTATTACGAGAAACTTCGCCATGCATCGTCCACCCACACCCCACTGACTTACTCCTACTTACTCCAATCATCTACTCCTACCTTCTGACTCGTTTTTCATGCCTATTACCATCGATAAGAATTGTATTTAATACGAAAACCGACAGTGATGATCTTATTAATAATAATCAGCGATTAATTACTTCTTCTCTCTATCTTTCTATCGATCTGTCAACAAGTTATTTCAATGACAATCCTGCCATTACTACTAGGAAGTCAGTTTTATCACCCTGTTCATATCTGTTTCCATTCGCACCTACTTAACTTGCTTTGTTCTTTATCTATCTATCTATCTATCTATCTATCTATCTATCTATCTATCTATCTATCTGAGCCTGTTCACCTTTCACTCTCTTTTTCTCTATATAGATAAGCTTATTCGTTATCTATCTATCTATCTATCTATCTATCTATCTATATCTATCTATGTGTATGAGCCTGTTACTCTTTCACTCTCTTTTCCACTATATAGATAAGCTTATTCGGTATCTATCTATCTATCTATCTATCTATCTATCTATCTATCTATCTGTATGGGGCTGTTCATCTTTCACTCTCTTTTTCTCTATATAGATAAGCTTATTCGTTATCTATCTATCTATCTATCTATCTATCTATCTATCTATCTGTATGGGCCTGTTCACCTTTCACTCTCTTTTTCTCTATATAGATAAGCTTATTCGTTATCTATCTATCTATCTATCTATCTATCTATCTATCTATCTATCTCATGCTTTGTATACATCAATAGTTTTCTCACTGTCTCCTATGAGAGATGTTAGAAAAGTGAGCTAACAACCTTAATTAATCGAATTTATTTATTATGTTACAAATAAATACCAATGCATATTTTACTAGCAGTGTTATGTAGCTTTTCCACCGCTGTCACCATCGAGACAAATATGTTTGACCTATCTTTGCTTGAGGTGCACAAACGGAGCTTGGAAGAACGTGGCATCAAACGGCCGGATCCACTCTCGAATCTCTGCAGCGACAGCGTCATCTGTGTGGAATTTCTTCCCGGATAAATGCTGTGTGATCCCAACAAACCGATTGTAAACAAGCATAACTCTGCTGCTAGTGGCCCTATTTGTAAATGAATAAAGATGGTACATAAGTAAAATGTTTATATCTAATTTCAAGGACATGCTTACGAGATAGACAGGCAAATATGCATAGACAGGTTTAGCTAAATCCATTGTACCCTCCTAGTCACTTACCAAGTAAATCTATAGATTTAAATTATTTCTTAAAGAAGCTATTTATTTATCAACTATAAAAAATGTTTTTATGCAGGAAACTCATAAAGCATACAACTTGTCTAGCATTTGGCTAGATTAACACTTCATTTTTCTTAGGAAATGACATCGTCTAAATGTACAAATCCTGTTTAATGTCTGTTGCTGTCATTGATTTCAAACGTACGCGTCATGACCCATTTACGGAAAATATTTTTTTTTTAATTTTTCCTTCTTAGTTTAAATTTAACGTAGGTCATATTTGATTGGTTGATCTAAGCAAAACTCACAAACATTATAACCCCCCCCGTCGTCACTTTTTTCTTTTCTTTTTTTACTTTTTTCGTAAAAAGAGCCTGTATTTTGCTTTTAAATCTGCTTAAATCGTTCACTCGCCAGTAATTTCTAATCGCCCGATGAGATACGCTGTATACGCATCGAAACACGACTGCAATTGCGTAGCGATTTTAACATGTTTTCGATATAATATTCTAAATATATATATATATATATATATATATATATATATATATATATATGACTTATTCGAAAATTATAAGATAAATATGATATAAAATCACTACAAAAATAGCCATTTCGTTTCAACATTTTTTGTGCCTTATCAAGTGATGGTGTTGAATGTAGAATAAAGGGTTTTAAAAGGTTCAAACCAGTCACACAACCCGCGCTAGGGGAGACGTCGTTGCATAAGTTGCAATGACCAATCAAAATAAAAGTATATGAGAATTTAAAAAACTTGGTTATAATAATCAATGCCTTAATGTTAGGGTTAGACTAAAATAGAAATCATTCTAATTAATATCAAATTTTACTATAAAATTAAAAATTACCAATTTTAAATTTTAATTTGAAACTGAGGAAAATATATATATGTTTTGCTATATATTTTGTTGTAACTGAAAAGGCATACATATATATATATATATATATATATATATATATATTAAAAGAATATATTTATATATATATTAAAATTTTTTTTTCATGTTGTGAAATAATCTCGATGTTCATATTGAGAATATTTCACATTGAAAAAGAAAAATTAATTATTTTTACATAATTTTAGAAATTCGTGTTTTGGTCTGAAGACGTCTTCAGGTAGAAACACGTTTCGTAAAATTATGTAAAACAAATTAATTTTCTTTTTTCTAAATAAATCCACATCTCAATAAAAAACGTTATTGAGAATATTTCATTGAACTTTTTTAATATACATACTTTTCTCTCGTTGGAACCACTACAACATATTTCTTTATATATATATATATATATATATATATATATATATATATATATATAGGTTATCAATAAAGTCCCTATATAGGTACTTATAATAGAAAAGCAAAGCATTGAAGCAGGTGCTTTGCTGTTTTAACAATATCGGTAATTAATTTACTATTGTTTAGCAAAGCATTTTATTGTTATTAACCAGAATTAGCCAAAACCATTTTAATAATAAATTTCTGGACTGTTGGTTAATTGCTTTGTCTTAATTGTTATTGTAAGCAGCTGTATATAAAAGAAAGATTGTTCACATATGTTTCTTATAACATGTAGATATAACAGGCCAGTGAAAGAAATGCAAAAAACAAACAAAAAAAGACAACAAAAATAATAAGATTAATAATCTGTATTGTATATTATTAGGCCTTTTGACCAAATGATGAGAAAACATGTTGAAAATCGGAAGTTTCGGACACGTCTGTGTCCTTTCTGAATGAGACTTGAAGCGCGACTTTGTTCGAACCTGTATCCTATACGGAACCGTCATTTAGTTTGACGTGCCTTTACCGATTTGGCCACGGAGGAGGGTTCGGTTAGCAAGTTTAAAAACAGTAAATTCGATCTTGCTAACCGAACGCTCCTGTTGGAGGACGATATTTTCAATGAAAATTTCTCGGACATTCAGGCCGGTAAATGTTGCTTAATACTGTTTATTATAAACAGAACATTTACTTAAATATTTGCATCTATAAAAAGAACGTATAAACATAAAAAGGTTTTAATACACACACACACACACACACACACACACACACACACACACACATATATATATATATATATATATATATATATATATATATATATATATATATACAGACACAGGGTTCAGTGAAATATTTGTCGTCTAAATTACATAAGAATGAATCCAAACCAATTAGAGGATCTCTCTGATGCTTGCCATTCAGTAGGGTGTGGGGTCTGCTCGAGATCTTTTCCGTGCTCTCAGTGCTTATATATGATATTATAATTCTGTTTATATGGGCACCTCGAGGCGGTGTAATGGTTAGCAAGCTTGTGTCGCTAGAACAATTACGACTGAGTTGTGAGTTCGATCCTCACTGGGTGTCCCATACTTTCGGCCTTGTGCCACATCTGAGCTACGCTTGGAAAATCACTGGGGCGCTTCAGCGTGGTGTCAAGGTTAGCAAGCTTGTCTCGCTAAAAAAGTTACGACTGTATATTGAGTTCGATTCTCACTGGTTGTCCCATACTTTCGGCCCCGTGCCACATCTAAGCTACGCTTTGAAAATCATTTAGGGTCCCTCGAGGAGGGGTAATGTTTAGCAAGTTTGTCTCGCTAGAACAATTAAGATTGAGTAGTTAGTTCGATACTCACTGGGTGCTCCCTAGTTTCGGTCTTGTGCCACGTCTAAGCTACGCTTGGAAAATCACTATTATAATTCTGTTTCTTCCTTAGTTGGTACCTCATAAATAAGGGACTATTTCGTTTTTTTTGCAAGGAAGTCCAGAACAGACGCTGTACAGTTTCAGCAAGAAAAAGCCAGAAAGGAAGAAATAGAAAACAAAAAAAAACAAAAAAACAAAAAACAATGAAACAGACGAGACAATAACGCTCTCGTGTATTTAACACCCGCTTCAATAAAATACAAACATATGTCAAGTTTAAATCTTTTCATTTGTACTCTCTTACTTCTTAAACTCCATTTAATGCAAGATTCTGTTAACGTTTTTAAGCTTAACTACTTACCGATATCACAGGGTGATTTCCTCGGGTATTTTATAGCAGTGGAACTTCGAAAAACCTTATGGAATTCTTAAGTTAATAAAGATTTATCAGTAAATTCAAATAGGAAAACCGTGTAATTTAATAACGATGGCAGTTCTGTCGCGGTAAACTGTATAATTCAAAGTGACATTAAAGGACGAAATATTTGGAGCTGACTAGAATAGGCAGGTTGTACAGGAGTCATAAAGCACTATTTGGAAGAATTAATTATAAGAATGCAATAGTCATTTATGCAAGGAAACGCTTCATTACATAATAAACAAATGTAATAAGAAGGCATGCGTTAAAAGACTTACTGAATTACTTCCAAAGCGCTAAAAATTAAAACAAGAATTGTGCGTCTCATAAGCATCTCCCTCTTTAAGAAAATTATTTTATGTCGAAATTCTCTTTCAGGCAATTATAGAACATTGTACTTAAAGATAGATGGATAGGAACAGACTGAGATAGATTGATACATAAAACAGATGGATAGACATATAGATATATAGATAGATTATTAGATAATGAACAGGCTGAGATAGATAGATAGATAGATAGATAATGAACAGACGGAAACAGATAAATGATAAATAATGAACGGACTGAGACAGACAGACAGATAGATAGATAGATAGATAGATAGATAGATAGATAGATAATGAAAGACTGAAAACAGGAGATAACTGATAACTGACATCCATTAGGCATGGTAAGTGGAACTAGAAAAGTCTACTCCAGCGAGCGAAATAAAGGATTCAGTTCGACATTCCAACCACCTGAAGAAGACCGGAGCGTACAGCAGCCGAAACGCTGTGATAAATATGGCAACAAAGATGAGGACAATAGTCCGAATAATGTAAATAGTGTACATAATACCTCATCTCAGAAATATAGACAGATACTGAAAGGCCGAAACGTTGTAATAAATATGGCGACAAAGATGAGGACAATAGTCCGAATAATGTAAATAGTCTACATAATACCTCATCTCAGAAATATAGACAGATACTGAAGGGCCGAAACGTTATGATAAATATGGCGACAAAGATGAGGACAATTGTCCGAATAATGTAAATAGTGTACATAATACCTAATCTCAGAAATATAGAGAGATACTGAAAGGCCGAAACGTTGTAATAAATATGGCGACAAAGATGAGGACAATAGTCCGAATAATGTAAATAGTGTACATAATACCTCATCTCAGAAATATAGACAGATACTGAAGGTCCGAAACGTTGTGATAAATATGGCGACAAACATGAGGACAATAGTTCGAATAATGTAAATAGTGTACATAATACCTCATCTCAGAAATATAGACAGATACTGAAAAGCCAAAATGTTGTAATAAATATGGCAACAAAGATGAGGACAATAGTCCGAATAATGTAAATAGTGAAGAATTTTGTTTGTTTACATTTCGGGTAGGAAACTAAAGCTAGAAGATATAGGAGGTGTTTGAAATGATTCCAACGACAGATTGGCATTTCTACAAGTAGGTAATTGAGCCTTGCATTGCAGCGAAGTCTCTCGTGGTTGAACTGCTAAGAGATAAATTTTCTTTAATAAAAAATTCGATTTGTCGGACTGAAAAGAACAATTAAAATCGGATGTTTACTCGAACTGGTAGAGATGATAAAGATAAAGTCAAGGGCGATAAAAAGCGAAATGACAATAGTAACATTACCGGTTTCCTTATAAGGAAACATTCGGCATTCATTGACCGAGCAGCCAGTCCAACTATGTTGCGAGTGAAGATGTAGATAAAAGCAAAGAAGTAGAAAAATGAGGAATAAAAAGAAGAAAAACATTGAAGCAAACAAAGGAAAAGCAGGAGTAAAAGAAGAAGAAGGAAACAAAGAAGAATAAGAAAGCAAAGAAGAAGAAAAGAAAGAAAGAAAGAAAGAAAGAAATACGAAGGAGAAAAAACAAAGAAGTAAAAGAAAGGAGAAGAAGAAGGAGAAAAAAGAGTAGTAATAAAAAGAAAAAAGAAAAGAAAGAAAGAGAGAAAGAAAAAAAGAAGGAAGGAAAGAAGAAGGAAAACAAAGAATAAGAAAGTAAAGAAGAAGAAAAGAAAGAAAGAAAGAAAGAAAGAAGGAGAAGAAGACAAAGAAAAACAAAGACGAAGAAGAAAAGAAGAGAAACAAAGAAAAAAAACAAAGAAGAAGAAAAAAAGAAAGACTAGTAATAAAAAGAAAAAAGAACTGAAAAGAAATGAAATTAGTAACATTACCCGTTTCCTTATAAGGAAACATTCGACATTCATTGACCGAGCAACAAAAGTTATTTTATTCATCTTTTGATTATCAGGAAGTGTTGTATCTGTTCCCCTACCCTCTAATGGTAATGGTAATATTATCCATTTCCTTATAAGGAAACATTTGGCATTTATTGACCGAGCAGCCAGTGCAACAAGAATTATTTTTATTCATCTTTTGATCCTCAGGATGGGATCAAAGTGTAGTACCTGTTCCCCTATTCTATAATGGTAATGGTAATATTATCCATTTCCTTATAAGGAAACATTCGGCATTCAGTGTCTGTCCTCGGGCGGACAAACTATATTTTATCTCCCAATTGTGTTACAATCTTCTGACAGCGTGCAACGCAGTTGTATCTTTATCTTCGGACAGAGCACAACTGAAAATATTACTGAGAGGTCCTTCATTGCACTAAAGAGAGGGGTCATCGGTCGTAATATCAATGTTAGCGTAACGGACGGTTGCACGATCTGTTCTATTTTTGGAACTGGGTCTGGTGCACGCGCTCTGGTTCCTTACATTAAACTAAACCTGCTCCACAGCCTTCCAGCGTGGGACAGCAGGTAAATACAAAATGATAATATCTGTTCCCCTAATCTCTTATGGTAATGGAAACATTGGCCGTATTCTGAGGAAACATTCGGCTTTCATTGACCAAGCCGCCAGTGTTTCTTTTCGGTTGAAGTTTATATAATCATCCAATTTAAACAATGTTTCAGGAAAATAGGCGTCTCAAGTCCAGTAGCTCTTATCGCTCTTTCCAGTGATGTATTGAAGTGAAGAAGATTAAATTAACTCCTCGATATAAACGAATAAATTAAATGAAAATCTTCGCTTCTTTACTGTTTCTATGTAAACTATATCGTTTTCTGAATTGATATTATATGAAAAAATGAACTTTATGAACTTTGGATGAGTGAAAAGAAAATTCTTATAGGGTTGAGAAAAGAAAAGACAGAAAGATAAAAGACGTCCCACTCTTCGCAGATAAAGAATGAAAAAAAAAAAAATTATACTAATAATAATCAGTGAAGGAAAAAGAATCATTTGAATGAAAAAAAAATCAGGTGTCAAATGTTGCGAGTAAAGATGTAGATAAAAGCAAAGAAGAAGAAAAATGAAGAAGAAAAAGAAGAAAAAAGAACATTGAAGAAAACAAAGGAAAAGCAGGAGAAAAAGAAGAAGAAGAAAACAAAGAAGAAGAAGAAAGCAAAGAAGAAGAAAAGAAAGAAAGAAAGAAGGAGGAGAAGAAGAAAAAAGAAGATGAAGAAAAACAAAGAAGTAGAAAAAAGAAAAGAAACCAAAGAAGTAAAAGAAGAGAAAAGAAAAAGTCGTAATAAAAAGAAAAAAAGAAAAGAAAGAAGAAAGAGAAGAAGAAAAAAGAAGATGAAGAAAAACAAAGATGAAGAAGAAGAAAAGAAGAAGAAAACCAAAGAAGTAAAAGAAAGGAGAAGAGAAAAGAAAAAGTCGTAATAAAAAGAAAAAAGAAAAGAAAGAAGAAGGAGAAGAAGAAAAAAGAAGATGAAGAAAAACAAAGACGAAGAAGAAGAAAAGAAGAAGAAAACCAAAGAAGTAAAAGAAAGGAGAAGAGAAAAGAAAAAGTCGTAATAAAAAGAAAAAAGAAAAGAAAGAAAAAAAGAAAAAAAGAGAGAAAGTAAAAGAAAGAAGTAAAGAAGAAGAAAAAACAAAGAAGAATAAGAAAGCGAAGAAGAAAAAAGAAAGAAAGAAAGAAGAAGGAGAAGAAGATAAAGAAAAACAAAGACGAAGAAGAAGAAAAGAAGAAAAATAATGAAGTAAAATAAAGGAGTAGAAGAAGAAAAGGAGTTGTAATAAAAAGAAAAAAAAGAAATGAAAAGAAAAGAATAAAAGAGAGAAAGAAGAAAGAAAGAAAGAAGAAAGAAAGAAAG